GCCGCCGCCGCCGCCGCCGCTTCTGACCTCTCGTGTCGGGAGGCACGGCGAGCCGAAGAAAGACCCTTTAGCCACGTAAGTAGCTTGTTCATACGTGGTTGAAGGGAGACAATGCCTTGCTGAAAGGGATCGGCTCGGCCATCCCTTTCCTCTCCACTCTTACCTCTAGGAATAAAGAGCGGCGCCTGCAAGATTGCATTGAAGTGGCTGCATCGCCTCCCTCCTTTTCTCTGCATCTCAGGACTCTGGGGAGGGGGCTAAGAAGATCGCAGAGAGGGTGATTTTTTTCTTCTTTCCCTGCAGCGCTTTCTTTCTCTCTCTCCTTTTTTTTTGGAGGGGGGGTCCTTTGTGGTCTTTCCACCCCCCCCTTTTTTTTTGCTTGCATGTGCAGCAACTGCACTCGAACCCTCCGGGGGAGCAACGGAGAAAGACCGGACGTCTCCAGGCCGAGGATGGAAAGCTAAAGAGCCATCGATTTCTCCTTGTCCTCGGTTGCACTTTTTTTCTCCCCCCCGTCTGATCAAAGGAAGCCCCTGATCAACGCGACCCCATTCGAGCAGCTGCAGCTCGCTCGCTCGCTCTCTCTCCCGGAGCTTTTGCGCACTTCGGGATCCTGGTTGAAAAGGATTTAGTTTGGGAAACGGTTTTTTTTTTCCTCCCCCTTCTTTTTCTTTCCGCCGAAAATCAGGAGGCTCGGTTCGAAGGAATCCGGATCGGATCAAAGTAGCAGCGGGCTTTCCCTCCACCCCCCCTCCTGCACCGTTAAAAAGGGGGAGCTTCTCGGCCATCCGCGGAAGTTAAAATACTCCGCTGCTATTTATTTTTTTTTTTTGTTTAATTTATTGATTTGTCTTTGGTGGCTTCTCTGAATAAGAGTCCTTTTCCACGAGGGGGTAAGAAGAAAAAAAAAGAGAGGACCAGACGCCCTCTACAGTTTAAATCAGGTTATTAAAAGAAAACCTATTGAAAAAGCCAGAAAGGAAAGAAAGAAAGAAAGAAAAAAACCCCTCGTTCAAATAATAAACCCGTGGGAAGTTTTCCACGCGAGCGACTGGGAATCGGAGGCTTGATATAAAACGAACCCCCCCACCGGTCCTTCGAAACGCCTTTCCCAGATGTTTGGATTTTAAACCCCGCGGCGTTTCCTTGCGGGGTGGGGGTGGGGGGAGAGGGGCCTCCGCTTTTGCTCATTTCGCTACTTTGCGGGACTTGGCCGCTGTTTTGAGCTACGAAGGCCGGCAACGTTCGAATCGAACGCGGTGGAGACGAACGTTCGGTTAACAAAGATCGGCAACGTTCGAATCGAACGCGGCGGAGACGAACGTTCGAATCGAACGTTCGATTGATCCCATTCATATTCTTGTGCTGTTTTGCGCTGGAAAAACCGGGACTGTTCGATCCTACAGAAACCTGCCGCCGGAGCCCTCTTTCTTCTTCTTTACAACACAGCAGCAAAAAGGGCATTTTTTTTTTGCTGATAAAACCCCAAAGAATTGTGAGTGAGTGAGTGAGAGAAAGGCAAAGAAAGGAAAGAAATTGGGGAAGGGGATTTCCCGGGAGGGTTTCTTCTCCATCCCCATGAACATACAAAGGTCAACCCCAATCACGATAGCGCGGTATGGAAGACCTCGGAACAAAACTCAGGATTTCGACGAGCTCTCGACTATAAGACAGACTGAAGCCAGCAGCCAGAGTTTCAGCCCCAACCTCGGCTCGCCGAGCCCGCCGGAGACGCCGAACTTGTCGCATTGCGTTTCCTGCATCGGGAAATACTTATTGCTGGAGCCTCTGGAAGGAGACCACATTTTCCGGGCCCTGCATCTGCACAGCGAGGAGGAGCTGCTTTGCAAGGTAAACTTTTCCTCCCTTCCCTTCTCTTCCCTTTCTGCACCGAAAGCTCGCAGGCGCAGCGTGGCTTTTTCCCTGCGTCTAGCAAGTTTATTTTTAGAAGGGTACTCGAAGGAGTGTGTGTGTGTGTGCGTGCGTGCGTGCGCGTGCTTTGCCGGGGAAGGGAGCCTCCGGTTTAGGCGCTGGGTGCAATTTAATTAAACAAACAAAGCCTTGCATAATTAAAACGGCTCTCGGCAACTTTGCAGACAATGGGCCACGTTTATAACGGTGGCCTAGAGCCAAAGCCGCGGGGGGAGAGGAAAGACCGGGAAGGGGGGGGGGATGTTGGGTTTAAAAGCGGGATCCCTGGATACAGCGCTTTCCTATTTCCTTCCGACTTTTTGTTCTTAACTTTGCACGATGCCCATTCTTCCTAGTCAAAGGATACTTCTCGGGGGGCGAGGAATAAACCATATATATATTTAGCTGATGAGAGCTAAATAGCTTGAAATAGATCTATACTAGTCTCCCTTTATTTATTTATCAGCACAATTAAAAAAAACATACATACATCATACATACATACATACATACATACATACATACATACATACATACATACATACATACATACATATATATTAGCCAAGTTAATAATTGCAGGCCACTGGCACCTTCGTCTGCCTAAGGCTGCAAGCCTCCGTCTACTGTATGTGGGTATTTATTTGGGAACAAGCAGCGGATTCTCTTCCTAAACAAACAAACAAACAAACAAACAAAC